CACTTCTTATTAATTTTTAGCCTTACTTTTCTTCTTCTTTTTTTTTTTTTTTTCTTTTTTTTTTTTTTTTCCTTTTTGTCTTTTTTCGTGACCGGCAATGGATCGCAACCCTCAGTGTCGCGCCCGTACCGGACCGGGACCGGCAACGGGATCACAACCCTCGGCGTTGCGCCCGCACCTCGCTCAGCCAGTGAGCAGCCGGTCTGTATGTGGGATCCGAACCCTCGGCGGGAGCGCCGCCGTGCTCCCAAGCGGTGCACTGTAGCAGTGCGCCACCAGGCCGGCCCCTAGCCTTACTTTTCTTCTAATATAAACATTTAAGGTCTAAATTGTTCTCTAAAAGCCAATTTAACTGCCCACCACGACTTTGATAAATATTTTATTATCGTTCAGTTATAAGTGTTTTCTGGTTTTTATTATGATATCTTTGTGACATCTGGGTTGTGTGAAAATGTGCTGTCTAATTTCCAATGTGTAGGGATATTTAGTTATTGTTTAAAAAATTAATTTGTAATTTAACTATTTGCTATTTTCTATTTTCTTGCCAAAGTTTTGTTTATTCAGATCTCCTCTGTAATATAGGTGGTGGTGGTGGTTTTTTAAATGTTGTCTTGATCCAGTTTTGAGGCCCTGGCTAGAGGAGGTCTGTTCCTCTTCTTGAGCAGCTAAGTCCAAACCCCAATCACTTCTCTTATCAGGCTCTTATACTCAGAGGCCATTATTCACTAGTTCTAATGGCCCTGGGGCCAGGTACCAGACAACAAGGGACAGCCCCTGTGCTCTAAGCTCACACAATTATTCAAATTAGCAAATCAGCAGGAAGTGCTTGAAACCTAACTAACCTCATGCTGCTTGCCACACATACACTACCCTTAAAGCAGCATATGTGGCCACTGGGTGTGGCCCTGCCTGGCAGCCTTCTCTCATTTTGAGCTGTAAATAACAGATCTGACACCAAATCTTGGATGCTTAACCACCACAGTTCTGCAGCTGAGTCCTATGGAGCTCCTTCTGAAGGCCTTGGGAATTTATGGCTTCCAATTTCAGATATATATAGATCCCTGGGGGTTGGTATGGTATGTGTGGCCTGGGGAATGTACCTTGATGTCTTTTGTGTTGAGATAAAGATTAGTACACGAGGGGGTGCTGTAGTCTCATGTTACAGCTTCCTTCATGTTGGGGTTTGTGCTGTACTTTATACCACCATGGTTTGGGGTAGGGTTTGCAATGGGTTTTCTTTGTTCTGCTCCTCCAGATTTCAGAAATTAAGCCCAACGGAACATGGTGTCCTTGAAAACGCCAGGAGTGTGGGTTTTAGCCAAGCGGCTGTGTGGCTGCATTGCCTTGAGCATATCACTCCTCTCTGGGTTCCTATTTCCCCATCTATGACATGGGCTTTATTTAAAACCTGATCCTTTTTGGGGGGTGGGATCCTTCTTTTTGTATGTTTAGTTTTGGAACCCTTACTGAAGGGGAATCTATTTTGTGTTTCTCCAAGACAGTGACGTTACTTTGCCAATCTGAAGACTCATTTTCTCCAGGGCAGCAATCTCTGCAATTTGGAAACCTGAAACCTTTTAACCTGAACACTGACTTGGAAATTAAGTGTGACCCACCGAGACTAATTCCAGATATTTCCTGGGAGCCCAGTAATGGCTAAGAGCAACATGCTAGGCTCAGCTACTTCAAGAGAAGAAGCTATTCCTGTGTATTTTATTCATCCTACTGGTTTTTATTGCTAGTGCCATTGCTGTGTACCTATATATACCAGGCAGAATTCTAAGTGTTTTACAAACACTAGCTCATTTAATCTTCCCACAATCCTCATTCATTAAAGCTTCTTTTTACAGATAAGAAAATTGAAGTTCATGTGGCTAGTAAGTTGTGGCACTGGGATCTGAACCCAGACTGAGCAGGCTTTACAGCAAGTACTATCAGCCAACATGGATACTGGAGCTTACACTTCCCCTCACTCATGGGAATCAGGATGCTTGTTACAGGGCAAGGGTCAGTCAAGGGAGCACTAACTGGCTCTTGAGGGATCATCTGCAGACACACATTGCAAAGACCACTTAGTGATTTGGACCCCTAAATAGCATATGTTCTAGAACCTTAATATTCCCCTGCTCCAAGCTGGAGTCCATGGAGATTTAGGCAATGTGCTCAGACGGACTTGCCAAGGGCCTTCCAGGGCATATGCTTTCATGCCCTTCATATTATTTCCTTCCCCATCTCTCTAACTTGTCCCTCAAAGTCTATAATTCCATGTTCATTTTATAAGCTGGTCAAATACATTTGGGACATTTTCACTCTAAATCCACCTTCCAGAGACATGATATAGCATTGATAAGCCCCTAAGAAACACTACAGCAAGGAATTGTGTTCAACTTGAACCCATCTCCAGCACTCCCCAGAGTTATTTGACCACTGATTCCCATTTCTCATTTCTCATCTATGGATCTGGTTCCACAGTTCACACTCTGGAGAACATTGCTCTAGCTCAGGGTTTCTTAACCTCAGCACAGTTGACATTCTGGCCCAGATAGCTCTTTGTTGTAAAGGGCTGTCCTGTGCATTGCAGGATTTTAGCAGCATTCCTGGGCTCTACCCATTAGAAGCCAGTAGCACCTCCCCCCTACCACAATATACATTGCTATATGTTCCCTGGTGGGGGGCAAAGAACTCCAGTTGAGTACCACTACTCTAACTCATGCATTCTCAATAGAGGTGATATTGCCCCCAAGGAGGCAAAAATTGGTGCATGGGGAGAGACAAAACTCTTGCTCTTTTTAGGTAGAATGCGCAGATAAACATACACTGCTTAAACAGATATACAATATGTCTGTGACATTAAAATTTTATGGAGGGGATTAGGAAAAATATGTCTAAAAATACTCCTTAGGGAAGTGATAACAACAACAACAAAAGATTAACTGTGTCCTAATTCACTTTTTAAATTCCTATTAATGAATATTCCTCGGGAAGAATGACATTTGTGGCTCTTTTAAGCAGAACCAAAAAGCTAAGCAACTGTAGACACACAGAGGGAGAATATCTGGAAGCTGCCAAAAAGCCAAGGATATGATATACAAGGAACTTAACACTGATGTCAGTCCCTTGGCTATGAAAAGGGAACATCTAGATCCCTGCCCAGATCACTGTCTGTGAAGCTCCCCAATTTCCAAGCAGAAGAGGCTTGGATGAGGGGGTCTTCCTGTTGCAAAATGGCTTGAAGCCGCATTGTCACGCCACTTTACACAAGATTGAGGATTAGTCAATTATTGATTGAATCAAAGAATGTGGTTGACTAACGCCTTTCAAGTCACTCACAGGCATACACATTTGGACACGTTTTTCTCTTCTCTTCTCTTGAATATCCTTTTCCTTAGGTATCTCTGGCCTTCCTACTTGTTTAAAGAACGTCACACACCTTGATCACTTGCTGCTGCACATCCGTGACAGGGAAGTAACAAATAGCCACAGATCCAAAATATAAAGATAATTTCTACTGCAGATGGCCAGCTAAAAGAAAGTTTTTTTTAAAGTTAAAAAGCCAACAAATGAATTTTTAAAAATTAAAATGCTTTTTTTTAAAAAAAAAAACCTGACCATTTTTTTCTTAGTCTTGTAGAGAGCAAACCTTCCCAGCTTTCAGTTTGGGGGAATGAGTAAGAATCACTCATTTTCTGCTTCCTACTTCTATCAGAAAAAACCCCATTTGAACTCAGCATAGATGGGTGAGGAATAGAGGTGGTGCTCACAGGAAACCACGTGCCCTTCAAAGGCACCTGTCCTCCTTAACGCCAGCTTCTTGAGCAAGCCTGGCACTGCCTCACAGACCTTCCTCAGAGCCACTTACAGAAAAGCAAGGTAAGTGGGGATGGGGATGTTTCCAGGGCCTCAGGCCATGTGGGGCTTTCTAGACATGTGTGTGGAGTTGAAGAAGCCCTGAGTGCTTGCCAGCCACTCACCCAGCCCAGACACTCAGGCATCCCAGCCACTCATGGCACTCATCTTAGAGCTCCCACACCCTCTACCTGTCCCCACACCTCCCGAAACCTCATCTGATGGATATTCATTGATGAAGGGCTCTCCCCGGCATACAACTGGCCTAAGTCCACATGCCAAAAATATACAGATGATTTTCACCTAAAATACAAACCTTTCTGCTGCTTCTATCAGTACTCCCAGGCCAAGAAACACTGCACACATAAGGCCTACAGAATCATTCCAAACATTTCCCAGCTGTGTTTCTTGTTTGTTTGTTCTTCTGATAATTTCCTAACTCCTTAGACTTGTTTATTCCTTTAATTTTCAATGGTAAAATGTTGGAGAAAGACTAGAATTGTTATTCATTTATCAAGCTTTTTCGGAGGCCCTGTGATGCAACAGGTCTTCAGTATCCATGTGCAGGAGTAAACCAAAATCTCTCTTGAGAAACACATAGTTTGTTTGGGTAGTTAGATATCCAAATTTGGATAATGAGGATATGGGGAGGGATTAGATGTGATTTACTAAACAAGGTGAAAAGAGTTTTAAAAAGGAATATCAGGGTGCCATGAAAGCACAAGAAGAGTGGCCTTGAGTTGGTGGCCCTTCATCCCTGATTGCTCTGGTACACATGTGAGCATGTATGTAACTTTCAGAGGTTTTAACCTCTTCATCTGCCAGTTTGGATAGGAAATGAAGATGGTTGGGGACGTAGAGATTTTATTTCTGACTATGATGTGCCTTTTCTAGATCCATAGGGCTAATTCCCACTCTAATAGAATTCAGCACATAGGATTGATTTTCATAGGCAGTTTGCTGAAAAGACCAAAAAGTTCTCTCAAGTTATCCAACTGAGTATTGCAACCTTCCAAAAGGCCACTTTGAGAAAAACACATTTGCTTCATTAGCATCAAATTGGCCCAGGAGCGGCTAGCCACCCGTGCCTGGAAGGCCAGGCATGTTCCTACCTGAAATGGTGCTCCAGAGCAAACCTGGGACTTGGCAGTGGTGTGCTGGGGCTGGATTGTATCAGCTCTGAAGACCCCACAGTTACATATTCAGGAATTTTGTGAGGCAGTTGCTAGTGTGAAATTGGCCATGGTGGGAGTATTTATACCACAAAACCCAGCAAATGCTATAAATCAGAGTTTTCTGCCCTCCTCAGTGACCTGGTTTACCAGCACATCAGTGGGACTTGAGACCTGAAAAGCAAGCTCTATGCACGGCTGTGTGGTCTTGGGAAGTCACTTAACCTCTCTGAATCTTTCATGAGTCATCTATACCATGGGCCAATTATGCTTGCTTAGCTTACAGTACAAAATTTTTGTTGGGGATGGCGTAAGGACAGGAGCATGGGGGTGGGTTTAAATGCACAATACTGGTGAAATGCTTTGAAAAATATAAAGTGCAAAGCATGCAGGAGGAATTACAATTTTTATTTTTATTTTTTGCGGCTGGCCAGTATGGGGATTGAACCCTGATCTTGGTGTTATCAGCACATGCTCTAACCAACTGAGTTAACTGAGCTAACCGGCCAGCCCAGGAATTACAATTTTTATATAAGGGCAAGTGACCAACCTGGTTTTCTTCTAGCTGAATGAGATTGCCTAAGCAGTTATTAAAGTTTTGGAGTTACAATGTCTGAACTTTGTAGTTACAATCTGAAGGGGAAATGTGTCGGTTTTGATTTTTTTTTTCTTTTCTTTCTTTTTTGCTTTTGTCAGAAGGGCCTTGGGTGCATCACTGTTGGGAACATCAACTGACTTTGTCATCCCTGAAAGTGACCGCAGTAACCCCAAACTACAGAATATCTTTTAGAAACACCTCCTTGAAAAGGAGGTTATTATCCTCACTTACCAGTGAGAGAACTGAAGCTCCCAGTAGAGGGGTAAGAGAATTAGTTGAGTGGCAGAGCTGGAATTTGATCCAAATCTGTCTGATTTCAAAGGCCAGGGTTATTTCATTTGGCTGCAGGGTCCTGCGAGGAACTGAGTCCTTCAACTTGGGATGGGCTTACGGTAAATAATCTGGGGCAAAATAGTACATACTATACTCTGAACTTAGCGCTGTTTGATTTATTTTTGTTCTTATAGAGATCTTGTTTGCTCTTCCCCTCATTAGCTTCTTCTGGTTGGGTCCAGACCTTCCTTGAAGAGCCTATAGATTTAAAAGATGAACCCCACGGATGTAGCAGACACCACCGTGGATGAAAGCATATATAACAATTACTATCTCTATGAAAGTATCCCCAAACCCTGCTCCAAAGAAGGCATCAAGGCATTTGGGGAGCTATTCCTGCCCCCGCTTTACTGCTTGGTCTTTCTGTTTGGTCTGCTTGGAAACTCCGTGGTGGTTCTGGTCCTGTTCAAATACAAGCGGCTCAAGTCCATGACCGATGTGTACCTGCTCAATCTTGCCATCTCAGATCTGCTCTTCGTGCTCTCCCTCCCTTTCTGGGGCTACTATGCTGCAGATCAGTGGGTTTTTGGACTAGGTCTGTGCAAGATTATTTCTTGGATGTACTTGGTGGGCTTCTACAGTGGCATATTCTTCATCATGCTCATGAGCATCGATAGGTACCTGGCAATTGTGCATGCGGTGTTTTCCTTGAGAGCGAGGACCTTGACTTATGGAGTCATCACCAGCCTGGCTACATGGTCAGTGGCTGTATTTGCCTCCCTTCCAGGCTTTTTGTTCAGCACTTGTTATACCGAGCGCAACTATACCTACTGCAAAACCAAGTATTCTCTGAACTCCACGACGTGGAAGGTTCTAAGCTCCCTGGAGATCAACATTCTAGGATTGGTGATCCCCTTGGGGATCATGCTGTTTTGCTACTCCATGATCATCAGGACCTTGCAGCACTGTAAAAACGAGAAGAAGAACAAGGCGGTGAAGATGATCTTTGCCGTGGTGGTCCTCTTCCTTGGGTTCTGGACGCCTTACAACATAGTGCTCTTCCTGGAGACCCTGGTGGAGCTAGAAGTCATTCAGGACTGCACCATTGAGAGATACCTGGATTATGCTATCCAGGCTACAGAAACTCTGGCTTTTGTTCACTGCTGCCTTAATCCAGTCATCTACTTTTTTCTGGGGGAGAAATTTCGCAAGTACATCATACAGCTCTTCAAAACCTGTAGGGGCCCTTTTGTGCTCTGCCAGTACTGTGGGCTCCTTCAAATTTACTCCGCCGACACCTCCAGCTCATCTTATACACAGTCCACTGTGGATCACGATCTCCATGATGCTCTGTAAGAAATGAAAATCCAAAGCACAGAGTTAATGAGCTTCCCACATTCAGAGCTTACTTAAAGTTGCATTTTAGTAAGAGGTCCCTGAGCAGGTGTCGGGAGGAAGGTCTCTATCCAGAGCAGAAAGAGGGTTCTTACCCTGCAGTCGACTTTTCCTCTTCCAGTAGACAAGTGCAGCCCAGCAAGGGTTAATCTGGATTGAGGCATCCTTCCTCACAGCAGGTTTGCCTGCAGGGACGAATTAATCTGAGAACTCAGAGCAGTGTTTCAATGAGGCTATAGTTATTATTGAAAGGTAATGACCATTCACTTCTAACCTGAACTAATGATGATCTCCAGAAGTAATTGCAGAGCATTGACTGATGGAGTAAATCTCTACTTCCTGCTGTGGAAAATGGGCTCTCTGATTAATTTCCAGCTTTTGTGGAACAGCATGGAAAACTTTGACATGGTGTCCTAGTGTTATTCTAACAATGTACCTGAGGCACGGTGTATTCCATGAAGCCAGACGTATGCAGAAACAATTAGTGGAATGATGAACCTAGATCTCTATCTTTTATTTTAAAGGATTATTTGTTACTTGAAGCCAAACTTTTTGTGCTGATTACAAGGGTAAGGATATGAAAGCATTAGCATGGTTTGATTTCCAAACATGAAATACAAGGCATTCAAGATCCAAACATACTTGTGAAAATTCAAACACAGTTTTCTTTGTTTTAGTTACAACAGTGAATATTCAAATTTTAAAAACAATAATAGGCCCAGAATACATTTATTTGGGGTCTTTTACTTGTTTATGAATAGGGTCTTTAAAATTAGAAATAAGGAGAATTCATAATGTATGATGATACCTCCTTAATAATTTTGGAGTGTCTGCCATCAATTGAGGTAAAAATAACAACTTAAAGTTATTGCTGGTGTGTCATAAAAATGGCTGTTAAAAAATTATAAAATTGTGAAAAGTGTCATACTCTCTTTTAAATATGGCCGCAGGGGCTGGCCATTTAGCTCGGTTGGTTGGAGCATGGTGCTGATAATACCAAGGTTCAGGGTTTGATTCCTGTTCCAGCAAGTCACCAAAAAATAAATAAATAAAATATGGCCCTGGCTTTTAACTTTTGGGTGACTGAAAAGTTTGGCCAGTCATTTCTGACGAGTCTTACAAAATTAAATGATTTTAATCATTCAATTAATCATTTCATACCATTAAAATAAATTGCTATCTCTGTCCTTCCAGTCTTCATTAGTTAGAATTAAGCAAAGACTCCAATAAAATCTGGGAGACCTCTAATCCCTGCAAAATCAAAAATCTGTCTTGCAAGTTATTAGCTGAGTTAACTAGTTTAAAATGCTCCTATTAAGTTGACACGTTATTGCATGCTCTACATTTATAAAGAATGCATTTCCAGAACATTTATTTTCAGAAAAGTGATTTTTAAAGGGAAAGTTGGTGTTGCTTTTATAGAAAATAAAATAAGATAAACTTGCGTACAGTCCCACAGAGTCTTTTTTCTTGATCATGTTTGTGTTTGATTTCCTGATGCTTGGAGCTGCTGATCCTCTCATCGCGTCACCACGTGCTGTAGGGGTCATGGACTCACCCAAGGGGAGGGATTGAAGGGCTCACTGTTAAGATCTCCACTAGGGTGGAAAAGAGAGTCACTATTGTGGTGTGGTGCCCTTGAAGGCAAGAGTGGGTAAGAAGTTGCGGGTGGGCCAACTAGGCAGTGTTTCCTTAGAAAAACTTTGTGTGTTGTACTAGTGTCAAATCCTAGCTCTGCGCTCCTCTGCCTGAGTTACTTTCCTCTCAACCTCAGTTTCCTCATCTGTAAAATGGAACATATTTCAGAGTGATTGAAAGAAAGAGGTAAGATGATTAATGCAAAGCCCCTATGTTCTCACGTCATAGGTGAAGGGTGGTTTTGGATCTGCTAAACCAGAGGCGGACTCCCCTTTTTGGCTAGAGTTTGTAATTTTATTCATTTAATCACAGTGAGACAGAAACTTTAGGGCACCAAAAGACAAAGACTTGCCAAAGGGGTTTTACTACCCTTCATTCCCCATCACATCCAGTACTAAGCTGTGGTGAGGTGCAGTCCACACGGCTTCCATCCTTCCTCCTGAGGAGAGGGGCTTCTGCTGCCTCAAGGCTGTCAAAGCTACGCTTGTTCCAAAGTTGTGGGGATATTCCCTCAGGACAGGAATTTAGAACCTCTGGTGACATCAAAACGTAACTCTTTCAGAACACGTAAGGGAAAGTTTCTTCCCATTTAGTACAGAACCATGGAAAGCAAGGCAGCATGATTTCAGACGTCAGACTCATCCCTTCCTTGCTGCCACATGCCTCGCTTCTGGGGAACACAGACTAGGTGTAAATTTCTTCCCATTTAGTACAGAACCATGGAAAGCAAGGCAGCATGATTTCAGACATCAGACTCATCCCTTCCTTGCTGCCACATGCCTCGCTTCTGGGGAACACAGACTAGGTGTAATTTGCTTAAGAACAATAGAAATGGGATTGCTTTGGGGTGATGTAAAGGTTTTGTAACTAGATAGAGTTGATGGCTATACAACATTGTGAATATACTAAATGCTACTGAATTGTACATTTTTAAATGTTTATTTTTTTCAGATTTATTTTTATTTTAAAATTGTTTTTACAAAAATTTTTAAGGTTAATTTTATGTTATGTGAATTTTATTTCAACAACAACAACAACAAAAAGAACACTAGGAACTAACCCATCCTATACCTGTCCATAGTAGACACTCAAATCCTATTGAATAAATAAATTAATTTTGTCTGCTTCCCATGAGAAGGAAAGATACAGGGAGAAACGAAATGGTCTTCAGACCTTTAGGGAGTTTTTCCCCAAGAAACTCTCGTAACAACTTGCAAGTATTTGATGCACTTAATTCCTATCTGTTCTATTTTGTGCTAACCAGAATGCTAGGTTAAGAGAGGAAAAAAGGACAAAGGAATAAGTTCTGTACTCATGAAATGTACAATTGACAAGGGAAAACATAAACACAGATAAACTGTAATGCGAGCAAGATGAATGCAGTAACAGTCACACACAAAAAAAAGATGCTCTGGGACTCCAGAGGAAGGCAAAATTGATTCAATTTCAAATTTTCATAACACAATTAGCTTTTGTTTTTGTTTTTGGGTGGCTAGCAGGTATGGGGATCTGAACCCTTGACTCGAACCACGCTCTAACCAACTGAGCTAACCGGCCAGCCCACAATTAGCTTTTGAAGTAGATCTTGTAGGAGCTTAATTTTGATGGATGGAAGGGAGGAAGGACTCTAGGCTGACGAAATAGCATAGGAAAAGGCAGGGTCGTGGTAAGAGAGCACTGTGTGTTCAGGGAGTCATGAGTAGCTTTTTTTTGTAGTAAAAGTGAATACGTGGAGGTGGGAGAGAGGAACAAAGTAGGGAAAAATGAGACCAAAGAAAAACTGCAGACCTAAGAGGCAACAGTTTCGAGCTCCTGAGTCAGCTACCAGGGGGCTGTGGTCATACAAGCGCCTGTCAGGACTGAGCACTCTCTCTACCAGTTATCAGGAGTGCTGGCAGCTGACAGCTTTCAGCTAGTGTCTCTTTGGGAATTGTCCTCCCTTGGGGCAGCTCATATTCAGTGACTGGATAATAAGAGGATGTAAGCACTTGCCCCTTTGCCTGGATTTGGGACAGCTCTGAAGGGCCAATGCTATTCCAGAGCTCCCTGTAAGATTAGCTGAGGCCTCTGTTGCAATTACTTCACAGTTCAACTTTTCATACTGCCCAATCCTGCTTCCTCTATACCCTTACAGATATTATTCCCAAGAGGACTCTCCATTCAATCTCCTGTATGCTAGCATCAGAGTCTCAGAGTCTGTTTCTAGGAATCCCAATTTAAAATAGGGACTTTCTGATCACATTAGGGACAAGTGAGTACCTAACATATATGGAAACTGATTCAGGTGTGGGAAAATGAAGAGGCAGAATCTCCACATCAGGTCTGTACTTCATTCATTGCCCTTTGTCAACCCCACTTGACACTTGGTTCCTATGTTCTCGTACGGTCAGTCTCACGTTGGCCCTTATAACGTTTCTGCCTCAAGCCCTGAGGCATCTTCTCCTACACCACTTTCTTCCTGTCATGGTCACAGCTCATCTCTACCCTTGGTCATACCACTGTTACCGAATTAGGCTCTTGGGCCCCCAAATCATAGAAACGAACAATGTACCCAGCAGTAAAGCAAGCAATGCTTTATTAAAAGAGGAGATAGACTTATGCATAAGGGGGTGGGGGGTAGCTACAGGAAAGCTATCTCCCTACCCACCAAGGGGAGCTGTTCAAGGTCTTTTACAGGGAAAGGAGTTAAGGGGTACAGGCCAGTGTCACTGGAGGTGGTCCATTCTGTTCTTCCTGGATGCATCATGGGTACATGCTCATTTAAGGCTTTGGTCCTTGCACCTGCTCAGTAGGTCCAAGATGGTGGTGGTGTTCATCATTGTCACCCCAGCTTTGTGTGCATGCAGGAATTCCTAAAGGGGTCTTAAGGTTAATCTACAATTTAATCTTTACAATTATAGTAAACAAGCCTTGGGGAGGGGTTTTGCAACTCAGTGAATACCTGTTCCCCTCTCATCTCAGTTTATTTTATCAGGGTGGACCATGATATAATTATGTGCCCTGGAGGGTCTCATGACTGAGGAGTGGAAAAGTAACAAGTGTCCTCTGCAGGGAAAATGGAGTCAGTTTGGTTCACAGGCCTAGCCTTACACTGTCTTACCACCACCACCTGGCATCTTTTATCTTGTATGGGTCATTGACTGTTGGTTCCATCTCCAGTCTTTTTTGGCTCAAATGAACCAGACACAACCTCCACCATTTTTGTGGTCACAACACTTTACTCCTTAAAAGCTTGTAATGGTTCCAAATTCCCCTTTCAGAAGGTCAGAAATCCACCGAGAGCTTTCATATATTGAAACTCATCTCATCCTCTTCATAAAATAGATAAGGTTGATTTTATCACTTCATGAAATTGAGGTTCAGGGGAAACAATATCTTAATCATGAATTAGACTAACTCTACCAACAATAACTGCCACCCAATTGCCTAGTAAAATGCCTAGCATAAAGCAATGGCTCAATTATATTTTTCTGAATGAGTGATTTCCTTATCTCTTAATCAAGTACTCTACAACTGACAATTCAAGTTTCTATCTAACTACACAAAATTCACTAGTCTTATCTCCAAAATCCCCATTGTGTTTCTAATAAAACTTATGTGACTGAATTCAAAGATGGAATTGTTCTAGAAACAGTGGTGGGCTTTGGGTCAAAAATTATTTAATTAACACTTTTGGTATGAACATAACTGCAAAAGTCTGCATTTCCACCTTTTCTGGGAAATTGTAAAACAACATCCAGAGGAATGAATTAAAAAACCCATAAACTCCACTTTCAATCAAGCTTTGAGAGACATAGACTTTTCAGACTCCAAAATACCTGTAAAGTCTGCCCAAAGCAGCTTCATGATGATGGAGAGCTGACTGATGAACCATGCAGAGCTATTCCAGAAGAACACAGGGCTCCCAGGTGAGTTGAGTATGTGGACACCATCCTGATGTGACAACTGCCCACGGAGAGGTGCTGTGCTTTGAAGAAGATGCTGGCATCAGTCCTGGGCATGGGTAGCAGGGTTTCCTGTATGAGGTGGGTACAAACCAGCACCTGGGAGCCTGCAGCGTGTCTGCA